TTCTGATAAGTTTACTGGTCCATTCTGTGAACGTTGTATTGATGGCTATGTTGGTGATCAATGTCAATATCAATGTTCTGCCGAAACTACTTGTAATAGAAAGGGAACTTGTTCAAATGATGGATCATGCATATGTTCAGGTAATGCAGAAGGTGCCAATTGTCAAACTTGTAAATCTGGTTGGTTTGGTGAAAAGTGTGATTTTAGTATTGATACTAGTTCATTTGGTTTCTCTGAAAATGGTGATTCCATCACTGCTACTGTTATGAGTAGTTTGAGAAAGAGAATTGACTGTTCTTCATTGATTACAAATTCACAAGTTTTGGGAACTAATCCTGTTTGCTCATTGAATGGTGAAAAGAGTTTATTGACTATTACCTTGGGTATCTCTTCATCAATTACCATTGGTGGAACTTTGAATGTCAAGAAATATTTTGATAGTGAATTGACCACCTATGTTACTGTAGCACAAATGAGCTATAAGGCTGTTGATCCAGTTGCTGTTTTGATTGCTGACAAGTCCACTATTTCAAAGGCATGTGGTTCTATTTATTTGGATGCATCTGGTTCTTCAAGTTTGGATCGTAGATCTTTGATTTATTCATGGACAACAACTTTGGCTCCTTCAAGTACTGAAGTTTTAGATTCAATCATTTCAAAACTGTCAACTCCTGGTGTTAAATTTTCAGCATCTGATTTGGATGTTGGAACCTATGTCGTTCAAGTGACTGTTAAGAGTTCATTTTCTCTCAAGGAATCAGTTGCCTCTGTTACATTTAGTGTTATTGCTGCTACTCCTCCAACTATTTCAATTAAGAATGGTTTGGAAAGTTCAATGGTTATTGGAAGTCCATATATTATTTCACCAATTGTAACTTTCCCATCATGTTATAAGGGAAGTGGTAACTTGGTTTATACCTACTCATTGGAAAGTGGAAGTCCTTTAATTCTCAAACAAAAGAATGAACTTTTAGTATTTAGTAATGAATATACTCAATTGACTCAAGAAGGAGAATATGTCTTTAAATTAACTGCCAAGGAAGATAATTCACCAGAAGCATCAGTTACTTTTAAGGTTACAGCAACTGCTTTACCATTGAAAGTTGCTTTCAATATTCGTGATATGACTCAATCATTTGAAGATCCAGTTAGTTTCACAATTTCTAAACAAGATCCAAGTAATCCAACTGAAGCTGGTGGAGAAGTCTCAATTTCATGTTCAAACATTGATACTGCTTCAACTTGTGAAGGTTTTGTTGATGGTGCACAAAATATTGATCAATCAACACTCAAATTGGTTAAGACAATGACCCCAGGTGTTTATTCTTTCACTGCCACTTATACCAAGTCAACTCGTACATCAACTGCTTCTGTTAAGGTAACTGTTTCTGATCAATCCAAGTCAACTGTTTTGAGAGTTTCAATTTCTGCTCCAAAAGATGCTGATCTTGTTGCCGTCGATCCATCAAGTGATTTAATTTTACAAACAACTTCTTTGGATACTTTAACGAGTGCCAGATTATTTACTTGGTCTTCAAGTGATTTTACTTTTGATTCTTCAGTTGACATTTCAAAGCAATACATTGTCATTCCAAAATCATTATTGGCACCAGGTGCTTCCTATACCCTAACTATTAAGGTTGTTGATGGTCAAAAGAGTGGTGAAGCTTCATTGTCATTCACTGTTAACTCTCCTCCAACTGTGGGTACTCTTGAAGTATCTCCAAAGAGTGGTATTGCCCTATCTGATGAATTTAAGATTTCATGTGGTAATGGTTGGTCTGATCCACAACTTCCACTATCATTTGCATTCTACTCCAAGACAAGTACAGACACTAATTGGAGACTATTGAAAGAAAAATCTGAAACTAGATCATTTGGTACCTCACTCCCTGCTGGTGAGTTGGAAATTAAGGTTGTTGTCTTTGATTCTAAGGGTGCTTCATCTGAAACAACCACAACTGTTTCAGTAAGTATGCCAAAGGATGCCTCAACTGCCATTACAGCTTTAACAAGTTCTTCAAGTGGAACAATGACAACATCTTCAGTTTCCTCTGCCTTGAGTGTTATTCAATCTGTTAAAACAGATGATCCAGAACAAAAGAAACTATTGGCTGAAGTTGGTAAGCAAATTGTTCTTTCATTCTTTGAACAAAAGGCAACTGAAGAAAAGTTGAGTAGTCAAACCTCTACTTCAACATCTTCAACCTTGTCAGTCATTTCATCAATTAGTTCCTGTGTTGACAACTTACCAGATGAAACTATTAGAATGATTATTGAAAAATTCCAATCTGCAACAAATGGAGCTTCATCATCAAGTTCAATTTCATTGTCTGATGAAGAAATTAAATCATCCACTGATTCTGCATCAACCATTCAAAGCTATGTCAGTACTAGCTTGGGAGGAAAGAGAAGTTTAATGGCTTCTAGCTTTACAATTGAAGATTTGAACAAGATTGACCAAGTTAAGAATAACTTGATGAATATCAAGTTGAAGAATGTTGTTCCTGATATGCCTGCTGTTAGAGGATCTGGTATTAAATCACTTTCATATGTAAGATTGGTAAATATTGCTTCATTGAATGGTTTATTCGAAAGCGTTGCTGAAAATGGTATCACTTCATTCAATCTCTCATCAGTTTTTAGTGAAATTCCACAAGTTTCTTCCTTGGACAGTGTTAAAATCTCAATGAAGGTTTATGAAAATAGCAATACTACATTCAAGTCCACTTCAAAGATCTTTGACTTTGTGGTTTCAAGTACTGATAACAGCAATGTCTTGATTCAATACAGCAAATCAATTGCTCAATTGACCATTGAAAAGTCAAATTCAAGTGTCAGAGCTCTTCAAGAACCAAAGTGTAACATGGTTGTCAATGGAGCCATTACCGAATCATCATCCTGCTCAATTCTTGGTACAAACCCAGATTCTTATGTAGTTTCTATTAACTCAACTGGTTCCTATGTTATTGGAATATCTTCATCTACTACTCCTGATGTTCAACCAGAAACAAGTACCACTACTCAAAACCCAACTCCAATTGCACCAGCTACTCCAAATTTGGACTATATCGCCTTAATCTTGTTAATTATTCCAGTTCTTCTTATTATCGTAGCTGTTGTTGGATTGATTGTCTGTGTCCTCAGAAGAAAGAAGGGTAAAGAACATGCTGCTCCGCAAAATTATGAATTGAAATCGACTGTTTAATAAAATCAAAATCTATTAGAAAATAATTAAACTAATTTACGCAAAAAAATTCTGCGAATTACCCATTTTGGTGGGTCAGAATGGTTTTGCAGTGTGAAAGCCATTTGCTGAAATCAATATTTAGTAATTTAATTCTTGGAAAAGTCAAAATTTTCACTAATCATCCTCAACAGTAGGTTTTAATAATATCACAATAAATTTGTTCCTAACATTAATTGTTCATCATTTGTTAAATTTATTGTAATGTATTTAGGTTACTTTAAATCATCATCTCTTCTCAAAGCAGCAGATATTCCAAACAAGCTCTGTTGTGAGGTGACAACATTTCTGAGAGATTGTTGAGTTGTGAGAAGGTGTGAAACGTTGAGCTCTTGCAAATGCGTCTTTTTCATCAAGTAGGTCTTTACAGACCCCTTTCCTTTAACTTCAATTTCACGTTCCTCAAATTCATAACCCAAATCAAAGACTCTTTCATAGGTTGATCGTGATATTTGAATAGTTCCGGGTACTCCAGTAGATTCCATTCTTGATGCCACATTGATTGCATCACCCCACAAGTCGTAGGCAAATTTCTTTGAGCCAATTACACCAGCAACTACAGCCCCAGTATTAATACCCACTCTTATATTGATATCTTCCGTTTCCACAACCTTATTCTTGTTATATTGATGAATGACTCCAAATGCATCGATGGCAAACTTTAAAACACGTTCTGGATGATCAGATTGAGAATTGTGAAGACCACCAACTAGAAAGTAAGCATCTCCAATAGTTTTGATCTTTTCCAATTCATACTTCTCTGTCAATACATCAAATCCATTCACAATACTATTTAACATTTTAACAAGATCTGTTGGTTGCATCTTACTACTTATTCTTGTAAATCCAACCCTACAAGTGTAATTAAATAATTATTGCCAACTTGAATACTTACATATCACTAAAGAAACAAGTTATATCATCAAACTTTTCAGCGATAAATGTCTCGCCTGACTTTAAACGATTGGCAACTTGATTTGGTAAAATGTTCTTCAACAAGTTGTCGCTCTTCTTCTTTTCATCAGACAATAGCATGTTTGATTTCTTCTCTGATGTAACATCTTTGAATGTAACGAGAATGTTTGTTGTCTTTCCAGCAAATTGAACAGCATAGATGGTAACTTTGGCAGGAAACTTGGTTTGATTCTTTCTCAAAAATTCTATATCTAATATTTCTACGTTTGCGTTCTCTTCATCAGAACGTTGCTCCTTACATTGATTCACTAAATGGGCAACAGTTCTTTTTGCAACATCCCTACAAGGAATATCAAACAAGTCAAACATTGAAGTTCCTAGAATGTCAATGCTCTTACTTCCAAACATTCTTAAACCAGAAGAATTGAAAAGTTCAATTTCTCCATTTTCCGAACAAATCATGGTTCCCTCAACGCTAGAATTGAAAACCACCTTCAAATTGTAATATTCATCCTCTTCCGAGTTGGTATTTCTCTTGGCTCTAGTTTCAGTCTTTCCATCCATTTTGTTATATAATGCAAAAGCCCTTAACTTTTCATTATGATCTAGAACATCGATTGGTACGTAATTTAACATGAGTCTGAAAGAATGAACATGAGTCCAAAAGTTGGAAATCATAGTCCCATAAATGAACCAGCAAATTAATATTATTGAAATTCCCAAACAAGCAGAAGAAATAGTGAGTACAACTACTGGACTGGATGAAGCTTTTACAAACTCCTTAATAAAAGTTGTGTACTTTGTAATTAATGGAAGGGATAAACGTAGTAAATTGTTGGTTCTCATGGCCAAGGCAAAAGGATCTAAGAGTGTGCCATTCATTGCAGATGTTTGCTGCATAGCATAATGTCTCCTCGAATCAGTTACCAACTGTGGAGCAGTTGTAGCAAAATCTGAAAAAACAGTTTCCAATCCTTGACAATACAATTTAAAACTAGCATATGTGTATGCAATACCGTTTTGCTTCATGTATTCAGTACAGTTATCAGTACCAATGGAAATAATCTTATCGACACTTGGATATATACCCATTATCGGTTCAAGATTCAAATCAGTAGAGCCATAGATTAGTTTGCTCATGTAATCTGAAGCAGTTGCAACACCGTCATTGACTCTGCTAACCAATGCATCAAATCTACTTCTCACTTGCCACAATCTCATATCTCCAAAACTTGTAGGCCTTTTAATAAGATACCTTAGTGATGCTGTTGGTGAAGTGAATTGTTCAGCACCAAAGTAAGTATAATATTCCTGAGCAAAGAATGCTACTCTCTCCACACTGACAGCTGTTTGGATAGAAAGGCGAACTCGAGTCATGATGTTTACAGAATCTCGGCTGTTAAGATAGGTCTCTGAAAATATTAGAGCAATACATCCACATGCAGCTAATAGTACAATTAGAGTACTAATAATTATGACCAGGTTTGGCTTGATTTTATCCATAGAAAGAGAGTTGGAATTGCTCACGGTCTCGCTTTTAATTTTGGCTGAAATGGTATGGAAAATCTTTCCAACAATGTCTTTTTTGATATTCCTCTCAAATAATTTGATGATCTTTTTCATACTTGCTAGCTCTATCAATAAAATTGTTAAGAAAACAAAGCTCACCGCCATGAATATGCCTAAAATAGAGACTGTGTAAATCATGAACTGTTGTACACTTTCATTAATTATTGAAATACTACTATCCAAATATTTGGTACAAAAGGCTTCGTAGGCAGTTGTAAACGTACCCTTGTTAGCCCATAAATAATTAAAATTAAAGTTTGTTAGAGGATTGAAATACTCCATTTGTGAAGTTTGGTTGAGGAGTAATTGCCTTTCATTGTAAGACAGTGACTTGTTTTCTAACTTTAACAACGTTGACTGAGGATAGTCGTTCATCATAAGTTCTGCATATTTTATCAGAGAATTGGTTATATCGACAATAGATGTATTTCTAGTTTGATAAGTACCTGTATATAACTTTGGAGTAGTACTATCTTCAGTAGGAGAATTTACAGTATAAACACTAGAAGAATAATCATTATAAATAGAATCAGTAAATACTCCAAGTTGACCAACGGCAATTAATTTCTTCAAAGCTATTATACTATTGTTCATTCTATTCTTGTGATCATTGATATAGACAGTTTTTGTAATGGTTGGATAGCCTTCGTTCAAGACAGGCCATTCAACCTCTTGGAAATAAAATGTATTCATCCAATTTTGGCATGCTCTGATACTTCTTATAAGAGCATATGGAACAGTTCCTGGAAAGCAAACTTGTTCAACATATGGAACAGTTGACTTTACGTTATAAGAATAGATAACTCCAAGAGAAATAGAAGCAACAATACACACAAATACAAACACAAAATAAATAGTAGACAAGCTCCTGACTAAGCTATTTGATTTTGGTATGGAAATGGCATTCAAAAATAGTGTCTCCTTCTTGATTTGAGGATTATCAAAGGCATCATCCATCTCTTCTATCTTTGCATTTTCTACAACATCATAGTTGGATGATTCCTCATGAAATGCACTGGAAATCTCATACTTGTCATTTGGAACAACCCTGTTACTTGCTGCATACAGACTCTTTTTGGTGGATTTGCTTTGAGATGGTCTTCTCCTTCTTTTAATTTCCTCCTCCTCCAAAGAGTTAGCTTCAGCAAAAAGTGAATCTGCTAAAGGTTTGTTAAACTCAAAGTTTTCAATAAAGTGAGCGTAAACTCTTATGACTGTCTTGTTATTCTTATAGTTAAAATAGAGACTGTTCAATGTGGATTTACATTCTGAAGTCAAACTGGATATATTTCTATTAATCTTTTGTATGGAATCATAGTTGAGATGTTCGTTTGCTAACTCTTTCCACAAATCCTTATGTAAAGTAAGAATACTAGTTTGATATCTTTCTAATTTTTGTATTTGGCCTGCTATTTCAAATAGGCTGTTCTTTGTGTTGGACATGGTTTCAACCTCTTTGATTCGTTCTTGAATAACTAACCTTTCAAGTGGGGACGGATCATTTTTTAAGGCCTTTCTTAAAAAGCTATTTGCCAATGTAGAGGCACTCTGTTCTTCAGACCAATAAAGTTGAACCAACAAAGCAGAGTATATTAAAGCCTTTGGATTGTTGAACATTTTGCTTTGAGCTAGTCCTTTTACAAAGTGGAATGATATTCTTGCATCACCTTGTTTGAGAGATAACTTTAAAAACATGTTCAAAGAGTTCAATCTTTTAGAATCTTCCAAATCCGCATAGAGTACCGAGGACATTCTTTCAATACATGAATATAATTGTTTGAGGTTATCTTCATCTGTTTGAGTTTTGCTTTCTGTTTGAGAATTTTGTATTATGAAATTCTTGATTTGTTTCATTCTAAAGAAGAGAATTAGGAATTGAATGAGGAATCCTATAACAGCTCCAATAATCAATAGACCAATAGCAAGACCTACAAATCCTCCACCTAACTCTGAGTTATTGCCACTGTTTGACAATGAGGAAATTAGAGAACCGATACTCACAGCAGTTCTTCCCACATAAATACTCTGTATGATGGCATTTTCATAATGTGTAAAGAAGGATAAGGATTTAAAAATCACCAAACAACAAGCTATGGAAATGACAATATGAATACTCGCAGCTATGTATGAATATTGAATAGGAATTGACTGAGAAATTACAAGATCTATAATATTACAAACTCCCAAAACACTCCACAAAAATGAGCTTTCTGAAGTCAGTGGAAGTCTACTTTGAGGATTGCAATTACTAGTTGTATATTCAACGAAAGGGTAAATGATTACGAGTACTATTATTGTGAGGGAACTAAATGCTATAACGATATCATTATTCGATTCTATACAACCAACATTGGAAAATCTGTTGAGAGAGGACATTAACGTACTTGTACTTGTGCCTGAAGTGGAGGAAACAGTTATGGAAATTTGATTTGAAAGGTTACAATCAAAAAAGCCAGCCAGTAAGTGAGTTCCAATCAATGCAAATATTTTGACACAAAAACTCAAGTACCACAAAGAATTTGTGACATATTTGGCATGTTTGCTTGGCTTGATAGTGAAGTAGTAGGCAGAACACAACAAGACAGCTGTCAATAAAACAATGAACATGAACACAGCTGCAATTCCAACAGTTCCAAAATATGGAACCAAATCAAACAATAAAGTTGTTGGAAAATTAATTACTTTGAATACGTATTTTCCTTCCTCTCCCCAGTTGAAATTTCTTACAGTTGGCACAAACAGTTGGCACCACAAGACATAGATATAAAACATCAAGTAGAAAATGTAGTTTTTCCAACCCGTAACAGGAGCCCTCTCTTGCAATGAAACCAACATGGTAAGTATATTTTCCTTTGTGTGATTGATGAAGGAGGATGTTGCTGTCATTGATTCAGTGGAGCTTTGAACAGAATCAGAAATTTCATCATTTCTTCCAGGATTCGAAGTGTTGAAGCTGAAGGCTGCAACATCAGCAGAAGGTCTCCTAAATGTTGATGAAGTATCAGAAAAATCAGATGAAGTTGTTGTGCCTCCCCTCAAGGGAAAGGCTGTATTAGCATCCACAGTTGAAGAAGATGATTGTTTGTATGTTGCTGGATTCAACATCATATAATGTTTTTTGCTTTTTTCTTGTTCTTCTTAGATGAGTATTTTGAGTTAATGATGAATACAAGAAGAACACTACATCAAAAACCATCATCCAAAAATCGGTTCCCAAACAAACTACAACCATCATTTCTTTTCAATCGTCGTTGCTTTGGTGCATTTTTAATTTAAATTAAAATTAGAAAAAAATTAAAAAGAATTTAAATGTGCTGATGAGGAAATTCAAAGTTTGATGTTGGAAGGAAGGAACGACAAACATTGACATCAAAAGCTATCACGGAACTGTTTTTAGCAAAAAGACATGCTTGTTATTGATGTCTTCATGAAAATACAAATACCGAATCCGATAATAATAATAGGAAAATAATTGGTAATTATTTGGTCAAAACATCTGCAGGTTTCATTGTATAGAATTGTAACGTGCTACGTCTTATGGATTAGAATAATAGTTTTTTATTCGGTTTAGTCTTCAAGTTGCTTTCTATTGCTTTGTCATAACTTTCAGAAGAGTAGAAACTCGATAACGATTTGGTTTTTATTCCTTTCATGTTCATTCCAAACAATTTAAACAATTGTGAATGACACTTGTTTTAACAGGTTGATTCTTTTGACTTGAAGTTTTGTTTACAATAATGTATGGATCACTAGAAGCAACAAATTTGCGGATCGTCGTGGCAGACTTTGGTCATTGCTATGTTTTCAAGTTGAAACTATTGATTAAGGTGAGCGATAACAGTGATAATATTAATATTACTGTGTCTATATATGACCCTCTATTCCGACTAGGATTCCATACCACTAATTTGCTAAAATTTGCTTGCAAGTTACTCCTTGAAACAATTGAAATTTTCAACATGTTCAAAAGAGGATATTATAGGTCATTTTCAGAGTGTACAAAGTGAGCCATTCATCTTAAAGCATCTGGGAAAGATTCCAAAAAGTCCAAAACCATTCCACAAAAAGATTGCAGTAATTTTTAATGAACCTTCACACCTGCACCAGTCAAATAGGTACACAAAAAGCACAATTAAGGATCGATACTACTGTGGAAGATGCGGTTCTTCTTAATGAACCACTTTGGTCCCTCTCAATGCCAACAAACAGCCATGATATTAATATATGATTGTGTTATCAAGCAGACAAAGAAAAAAGCGATTTACAGTTACTCAAAATACAAGAGAGAGATTTAGAAGTGAGGAAGCATAATATCGTTATTTTAGAGTAGTGATAAAAAGTAACAATAACATGTCTCTTCTCGGTATCAGTGTACAATATTCAAAGCAGCATGCTGCTAGGTTAACAACTCTTGCTAATAGTGGGAAGAAGAAGAAGAGAATTTCGGATTTCACATACTTTCTCCTAGTCCTTCTCCAATTATTCATTCTTCATATTAGTATAATTCATCATTCCGTACATGCAGCAACAAGCTCTAGGACCATGGCAGGCATCTATCGACATTTAACTGAAATAGACTCTGATGCATCCAATTTATTCTTTAAGGATGTGAGAGGTGGTGGCTGTGCTGACATTAAAACTGGTGATTTGTTCATTTGTGATGATGGACAATATAAGGTTTTCAAAATTTCGGCAGGCTCTAATGTTGCCACTCACTTTGCGGGCAATGGTTATCAATCAATATCTTGTACTTCATCTGCCTCAAACGGTCCTTGTGGAAATAATATTAAGGCAACTGAGGCTGGTTTAAGACCACATACATGTGCCGTTGATCCAGTTGATGGCTCAGTTTATATTTTGGATTATTACAATTCCAATATTAAGAAGGTGAACCAAACGAGTGGAATTATAACCTTATTCTATGGTAATGGGTTAAATTCACAAACACTCACCAATCCTCACACTATTGCTGTCTCACCAAATCACATTTTCATCATGGAAGACGGTAAATCCTCCAACAACCAGATTAGAAAGATTGACAGAGCTACTGGCCTTTTAATAGCAAAATATGGTGATGCTAGCAACCAAGGTTATCAAGGTGATGGAGGTTTCATCTCAGATGCTTCAGTTAGGTTTCAAACTCCAGGTGGTATTGCTGTTTCTTCTGATGGTCTGTATGTCTACATTTCAGACAAGACCAACTCTGTGATTAGAAGGTGGAATACTCAAACCAACATGATTCAACGTTACGCTGGTACACCTCTTAGCTCATGCGCAACTACCCCAATGGCTGCATGTGGTGATGGAGGTAGCGCATTAAGTGCCTTGCTCAGTTATCCTCAGGGCTTGACTGTTCTTTCTAATGGAGATTTAATATTTTCAGATTCTACAGTTTATAGAATTAGAAAAGTAGACTTTGTAACTGGAATAATTTCAACCGTCATTGGTAATGGTAATAATGTTTGGCCATCAGCTTATTACTTTTCTATTGGACCTAATGGCGATGGCCAAATTGGAACGAATATTAAGATTTATGTTTCGAACGATGAAGCAAAAGCAGTCAAATCTGTCTTTTCATATGGTACAACTATTTACTATACTGAAATGTATGTTTTTTTATTCCTTATTTTATTTCTTAATAATTTCTCTATTCTAATTTCCATAGGAGTAATCGTTTGAGAATGTTAAAAGATGGTGTTGTTACATGTATAGCCGGTACTCATGAATCTTCTAATGGTTTTGGCAATAAGATGATTAATACTCAATTCAAAATCAATCCAAAAGTTGCCTTTACAAAGAATGGAACCATGTACGTCATGGCAGATAGTGAAATCTTTCAAGTTGCTCCAGATACTACTATTGTAAAGAAAATAGCAGGTGGTTATTCTGATCCTAGCGCTGCTCTTGTCGGTTTTGGCGCTGGTAATCTGGCCAAGTATTCTCAAGTTTACAAATCAAAAACTTACATGGCCATTGATCAATCCAACAATGACATTTACTTTGTGGACGACAATTATATCAAAAAGATTGATTATGCCACAGGTGTCATGTCCATCTATGCTGGAGGTGGTGCTTCCTATGCTAATAACGTTGCAGCCACAGCAACTTCCTTAAATACACCTAAAGGTATAGCCCTCACACCTAATAATGATTTGATCATTGCTGTTTTTGGAGATCGTATTGTTAGACAGGTCAGTAAGGCAACAGGAATTATTACAACCATTGCTGGTATACAGGCAACTGGTTGTAATAGTGGAACCTGTGGTGAAGGAGGGAGTCCATTGGCAGCAACCTTTGGAGGTCCTCAGGTAGTTGCTGTCAATGCTAATAATGAAATCTTCGTTGCTGACCCTAGTTTGTATTATATTAGAAAGATTTCAGCCAATAGAAACACAATTACCAAATATGTTGGTACATTGAGAACTTCCTGCTCAACACAGCCATGTGGTGATGGTGGTCTTGCAACAAGTGCCACAATTTTAACAGTGAATGATATGGACATTCATCCATCAACAAACGAGCTCTATTTCTGTGATTCTGAAAGAGTTAGAAAGGTTTCTTCGACTGGCTACATTTCTACAGTGGTTGGTAATGGAGCTACCTATGCCAATAAGGGAGAATGGTCAAGTGCACTCTCACCGATATCTGCCAAGAGAATTTCCTTCTCACCAAGTGGAACTCTCTATTTCGATGATGCTGTCTCTAGTTCCTACTCAGGTACTTACAGTGGATTCACTTTCTCTGCAATCAGATATCTCGATTCTAATGGAAATATAGCCTCAGCTTCTGGACACTATTACAATGACTACTCATTTTACAATGGAGAGAATACAATTGCTTTGAGAACTAAATTGATGAGACCTGCTGGTTTATTCATTGATTCTAATGGAGATATTTATATTGGTGCAAGTGGTGGAAGTACTGCCGATAGTGAATTGTTTGCCTCAACACCAAGCATGAACTATGCCAGAATTGCTAAATTTGATGCTACTACAGGAAGAATCAATACTATTTTAGGAAACTTTTTATTACCAACTGCTTCAAGTCAAACCGCAGATAACACTTATGCCTACCAAGCTTCCTTAAAAATTCAAGATACTTATCAAATTAGTGGTATTCAATTTCCTTTTGGACTCGCCAAATCATCAACCACAGGTGAAATATACTATTCTGAATCAGAATATCACAGAATTAGAAAAATAGATTCCAATAATAAGGTAATCACAGTTGCAGGAACTTCAACAGCATGTACTCCAGCTTCTGGTGTTGCATGTGGTGATAATGGAGCTCCTCTCTCGGCAACCCTTAATTTCCCAACCAGTATTGCCATTGTTGGAGCCAAGATTTACTTTTGCGACACAATGAATCACAGAGTTAGAATGATATATAATAATGTTTTAACTACAGTGATTGGTGAAGGAACTGAATGTACAACTGCTGGCTCTGCAACATGTGATAATTCTAATCCTCTCTTGACTAAATTGTCAAAGCCAACTGGTTTATATGTGAGCTCAGATGGTAATACCATTTATGTAGCCGATACAGGAGTAAGTTATTCAAATAATATTTATTCATTAACATTTCTTTATAGAATCACAAGATTAGAAAGCTTTCCTCGGGAACCATGTCAATTGTTGCTGGTTCCACAAGTTATTGTTCTACTGGTGCTTCATGTGGAGCCAACGTACAAGCTGATGGTAGCACAGCTAAACTTTACTATCCAACCGGAGTTTCAGTCGATGAATCAAGAAATGAAATTTATATTGCTGATCAAGGAACTCAAACTATCAGAAAAGTCAGTTCCAATATCTTGTCCACCTATGCTGGTACATTTACCTTATTCTCATCAACTAGTCCTCCTCTGTATGGTTTCGATGGTTCCGGTGATTATGTATCCAAACCAGTGAATGTTTGGTATTCAAATCTTGGTATTTACTATACTGAATCTAAAACTGGAAGGTTGAGATTGTTATTCCCAACCTGTCCACAAGGCAAGGTTGGCATGAATTGTGATATGGATGGATGTAATGCCATTCCAACATCATCATCATTGGTTTGTTCAGGTCATGGTTCTTGCAGTGCAGGAATTTGTACTTGCAGTTCTGGTTATTATGGAACCGATTGCCAAAGCTATGATCCAACTGCAGCTTCCATTGTAGTTTCTAATAGTGGAAATAGTGGAAATAGTGGCAATAGTGATGGTAGTTCAGTTGTGACGCCTGTTTCATACTCTTGCTTTTCAATTGCTTCCACAAATACCTCATATGTTTGTTCTGGACACGGAAATTGCACTAGCTCGGATTCATGTTCTTGTAATTCTGGTTATTCTGGATCTAGTTGCTCTATTACAACTTGTAATGGAATATCAAGTAATTCTTCAAATGTTTGTTCAGGAAAGGGATCTTGTGTTAGTCTTAATCAATGCCAATGCCAAGCTAATTATCTGGGATCTAATTGTGAAATCACCAGTTGCAACAATATTCTTTCAAATTCTGCACAAGTTTGTAATAATGGAAAGGGAACTTGTTCTTCTTACAATAGTTGTAATTGTATTAGCAATTATTTTGGAACCAATTGTGAACTCACAACTTGTAACAATATCCAATCAAATAATGCATTGGTATGTAACTCTCATGGACAATGTATTGGTTATGACACTTGCCAATGTTCCCTTAATTATTATGGATCTAATTGTGAAATTACAACTTGTTACAATATGTTGTCCAACAACACATTGACTTGTACTGGAAATGGAGTGTGTACTTCTCATGACCAATGTGATTGCCACACCAATTATCTTGGATCTGATTGCTCAATTACTACCTGTAATGGTGTATTATCCAACTCCTCCGTTTCTTGTTCAGGTCATGGACAATGTAGCTCATTTAATTCATGTAATTGCATATCTAATTATTTTGGATCTAATTGTGAAATCACCAGTTGTAACAATGTGTTATCTAATGATACTTTGACCTGCTCTGGAAATGGAGAGTGTACATCTCATGACCAATGTAATTGCCACACCAATTATCTCGGATCTGATTGCTCAGTTACAACCTGTAATGGTGTATTATACAATTCTTCAGATACTTGTTCAGGCCATGGACAATGTATCTCATTTAATTCATGTAATTGTGCTTCCAATTATTATGGATCTAATTGTGAAATTTCAACTTGTTACAATATTTTGTCCAACAGTTCCGTTTGTTCAGGAAAAGGCAATTGTACGGATTATAATACTTGCAGTTGCGAAAATGGATTCTATGGAGCAGATTGTTCTGAATTTAAATGTAATGGAATACTCAATACTGATCCAAGTGTTTGTAATGGAAATGGATCTTGTGTCTCTACTGATATTTGTAATTGCACAGAAGGATATTTTGGTCAATTCTGTGAAAATCGTACTCAAGTTATCAGTAATGAAAGTATTCAAGTTGACAATTCCACAACTTCTAACATTAGCTTGACTGATAACACAACTATTTCTATTGATAATTCTACATTTGTGGATAATCGTGATGTTAATAATGGTACTTTGTCTAATAGTACCACAACTGATAATAGCACTGTTGTGGTTACCAATAGCACAACTGCTTCAAATGACTCTTTTAGCTCCTCCAATGAAACAATCACTCAAGCAAACGAAACCTTGGTTGATAATTCTACATTTGTGGATAATTCCACAGTTGATGCTAATAACAGTTTGATTAGCAATACAACAACGGATGATAATAGTACCATCATAGTTTCCAATAATTCTACAGCTTTGAATGAATCTATTGGTGAGTCGAATGAAACAAACATTACTGATAATTCCACTTCAATTGAGAATAATTCTACATTAGAAATTTTAAATAATTCAACTCTCAATGATGGAAATATTACTCTTGTTGACAACTCCACAATTGCTAACCAAACCAATGTGGAAAATTCCACAGACATTACTAACAGTACAGTACTTGACAATAATTCTACAAGTGTTGAAATTTCAAATGAAACTGTTGTGGAAAATAGTACTGCGAGTGAAACTAACCAAACAATTTCTAATGAGACAGTTACTAGCTCCAATGAAACTGTTTCCTCTAATAACACTGATCAAGTGAACGAAACTATTTCTAACAACACCACTTTGATTGATAACAACACGACCATTTCAGAAAATATTACCAGTTCTGATGTCACTTCTACTAATTCAACTGATAGTTTCAATGCTTCTAGTAATGCAATGAATGAAACCACGACCGTTCCAACTGAAAATTCAACAAACGTTACAGAAAATACTACCGTAGCAGACAATGAGACTGTTGTTATGAATGCCACAACTAGTTCAAATACTACAGCAATTACTAATTCAACTGTAACAAATAATACAACAACTACCAATTCAACTGTAAAAACTAATACAACTTCCATTCCACCAAATGCTCCTTCAAACAACTCAATAACTATAACAGAATGTACTAAAGTTGAAACTTGTTCTAATCATGGAGAATGTAATGTAAAAGGTTTTTGCACATGTTATTCAAATTCTAATGAAGGATATTGGACAGGTTCTTCATGTAGTACATGTCAAAGTGGTTACTATGGAGAATCTTGTTTAACTCGAATTGTAGGTCCTGTCAGAATGACATCTGATTTTAGAGGTGTTGAATTTTATTTATATTCACCACCAATTAGTGGAGTTGATGTCGTATGCAGTAAATTGCTCCATGCCAATGACCTAACCAATGGAATTTACGGAAGCTCTTCCTTAGTCAAGTGTCAATTTATTGACAAGTCAACTTCTTTATTCAGAATTACATTTGGATCAATGGATTACAATATTATCTTGAGCATGACCTCAATCAGACTTAACACGCTAGCTTTCAATCAAATTTTCACTCAACCTACCAATTATCTTTCATTTGTAATTCTTCCTCCGGTATCTATTGCTCCACCACAAGCAATAATCAAAATGAGAAATGTAGACATTTACAGTTCATGTGATGAGATTGCTGTGGATGGTTCTTCAAGTTTCTCAGCCGATGGTAAGACCTTAATTTACACTTGGGCTCTGTATAATTCTAACGGTACGCTATCAGTTAGTGAAATAGTTCCAAATCAAGCAATTATTTCTCTTAGTCCAAATTTACCACCTGGTTCTTACTTTATTACATTATTTGTAAAGAGTTCCTATTTGGGAATTAGTAGTAGTGTTACATATAGTAATGTATTTACCAAATCCTCAAAGCCACTTCCTTCATTGGTTGTTTCCAAATCATTATACGAAAAATACTCTAATGAATTCCCGCTCACTATCAAAAAGATAGTAACCGAAGCATCTTGTCAATCAAGCGAAGCAATTAGTGTTGAATGGGTACAAACAAGCGGTCCTTCAATTGAATATTCAGTAGATTCTGCCAATAATCTGCTAATTTCAACTCTGAAAACATTCGGAATGAATACTTATATTTTCAAAGTTTCTGCTTTTTATAATTCCAATCCAAGTGCTCGTGTTTCTTCCCTTGTGACATTGAATACGAAATCTCCAGATCTTTTACTTGAACTGCACATTCTCCAATCATCAAGTGAGTCTTCCACTATTGAAGTAATGTATTCTGATCCTGAATCTACAGTGAACACTCAGTCAACTGAAACTTGGAATTGGAACTCTACAAATACCTTTTTAAAGGATTATCTACTTACTGTTTCCAATTCAAAATCCACTCTAGTCATCATTTCCACCTCTTATTTCAATGGAAAGATTCCAAACTATGTAGATTTCACACTCACTATTGTAAAATCAGACGGAAGATCAATTTCCAAATCAATCAGAGCATACTTTGTTAATATTCCACCTGTTTTGAATGTTCTTTCCATCGAACCGTCAACTAGTTACATTTTATCTGGTAATACCTTCTCAATGCAGACTCTAGTTTCATCTCAATCATCCACACTGAATAATACTTGGTATATTAATGGACAATTAGTTAACACAGTATCAGAAACTAGTTCAACAAGTACTGTGATTATTGATACTTCATTATTGCCAGAAGGATCTACGAATAATATTGAAATTTCAAGCTTTGATTCTTCTACTGGAGCTACATCAAGTGCTAGTTATACTTTCCAAGTTGCAACCACTCCAAAACCTTGCTTGTGTGAAATTACTCCAACTGAAGGCATTGCTCTCGATACTAACTTTATATTCTCGTGCGTAAATTGCCAAAATTCTGAAAAGACAATTGACTTTAATTATGGATTTGTGGATGATAGATCTGGAACCAAGATACCATTGTACAACCTTGGAGAAATTTATTCTTCAAAGATTCCATCACCTTCTTCTGGAACTATTGTGAAATGTTACATTGAAATTGTGGACACAAAGACATCTGCATCTGTCATCTCCTATTATGACATTTCAATTACTACACCTGTTTATTCAACTATTCAGGATATTGAAGGTGTAGTTCAAGTATGGACAGATACAAGTGTCAAACTCTCAGAGACTGGTGACATTAGTCAGAGTATTTCACAATCTGCTTATACCTCCAGAACTGATGCCATTCTAGTTAAGGAATATATCAACTCACAGAGTGCAACAGCTAAGAGATCGTTAGCTTGCAAGAATGGTGTTGAAGTTGCGAACCATTGCGAATGTGCTGAAGGATATATCGGACACAATTGTGATATTTCCATTGTAGAATTTGACCTAGTTCAAAAGACAACTGTTTCTGTTTTGAATATGATGGTCCAGTTGGCAAATATTAGTGGAGTTACAGATGATTACATATCATTGGTTGGATTTGGACTTGATTCGATTCTTCTTAATATTGATTCCTTGACATCTGAAGTAATTTCACAAGTTTTGAATAATTTAAATTCAGTTCTTAGAGTTGCCCTGTCAAGTGAATTGAAAGTCGACAATGCCATTGTTCAATTATTTGAAAATTGTATCAAATCAATTTATTCCTATCTCTCAAAGAAGAAAGCTTCAACTAATCAATCAACTTCCTCTCTCAAATTAATTTCAGCTTCCAAAACATCAAATTTCTTGACAAGTAGATCATTAACCTTGGGTGGAACAGCTAAAAACAGAAAGGGTGATTTCTACTCTGTCAATACTAATCGACATACCGTCTATGATTATGAACCTAAAATTGTTGATCCTACTTATGGAACGATTGTAGAATTGGATGGAAATTTCTTGGCCAAGGCCAGTAAGGTTGCATTGGTAAAGAAGCCATTCTCGTATATTATGATTACAATGCAGGATGTTTATGGATTGAATACCAAGTTGGCTTCTATGGACCAATATGCTTCTAAGTTTAAAGAGAGCTATGTCATTTCGAATATTGTTTCGTTTAATGTACTTGATAATGATTTCCCAATTGATGAAAGTGGAGTCATTTATACCTTCCCAATTAACAAGACCAGTCTTCTTATGCTGGAACCTTCCTTGATTTGGAAATTGTAACCTCAAACAATTCATATTCCTGCGTTGATTTTACAGATCAAACTGGTGATCTTTCCTCAAATTGTAAAATATTGAGCATTAATCAAGATATTGCCACTTGTAAATGCTCTCGATTCACCAACGTTTTCATTGTTGAAACAGTTTCCAAAAATATCTTTTCCCTTTCCAATTATTTAATTTTGGGAGTTGCCATTTATATAATTCTCTGTTTGGCCATTGCTGCCACAATTGGATTCTGCTGTATCATGTACTGTGTGAATAAGAGAAAGAGAAAGACTGTTCCACTCGAATCCTCAACTCCAATTCAATTCATGAGACCAAGAGGTTTTAGTTCACCTCCAGTGACCAATTATGTTTATTATGATAACAAAGAATTTTCTCCAGATGCAAGATTCTTTGCTCAACAAGTGGAATCTCCAAACAAAAAGAAGTATAATAATTATTGGGATTATCCAACAAATCAATAAATTATGAACTTTATTTAACACGAGGAGTGATGGCAACTTTCATATTTGGAGAAGGTCTATTGACAGATAAAGTTCTGGTAGTGACAGGATCAACCTTTTCATCATTTAATAATGAAAAGTCATAATGTTGAACCAATTTGGCCAAGATTATACAACCTTCCATTAAACTGAAACGATATCCAATCTATTTCAATAAAAAATAGTATTGGAAACTATTGAAAAATGATGAAATTTGATGCTACTTACACATTTACGATTACCACTTGAGAATGGAAGCCACATGAAGGTGTGTTGAATCTTTTCTCTACTTTCAAAGTCGCCAAATCTGTCAGGATTGAAAGTGTATGGATCTTTCCAATAATCTTCTCTGTAATGAGTATGTTCCATAAAGGCACGAACAATAGTTCCCTTTGGAATGTCAAACTTGCCAATCTTGGTAGATTTCTTGGATACAACCTTAATAACTGTGGACACAGGTGGATGGACACGAAGAATTTCCATAATTACTCCATTAACATAGTCAAGTTTTGGGAAATCGTCATAGGTTGGATCTCTTCCTTGCAACTTCTCATCAACTTCTTGTTGTAACTTTTTCAAAATTTCAGGTCTCTTTGAAATTTCATATGAAACCCATTGTAATACTATGTCAGTTCAATAATTTTACAATATTGCAGTAAGGTTAAAAATTGCAAAACTTACAAGTTGACGTCGTCTCATGGCCGGCCAGCGCCAAAATAAAAGAATTACTCATCAATTCTCCATCTGATAATGCATTCTCAGTCATGTTTGCTTCCACCAACAAACTCAAAATATCACAAGGAACATCTCCACGTTTATCATTAGCATTTGGATCTTGTTCTCTTTCTTTAATTTCCTTTCTTCTAGTTTCGATTACATTATTCAAAATCTTGGCCATGAAATCACAATAATCTGTCAATCCAGTATAATTGGCAACAATGTTATATAAGAATTTGGATGCTGGCAATATGAAACCTCTCACTGCAATACCATAAGTGATGGTATATTCCAAAGCAGCTCTAAATTTCTTACCAGTTTCGTCTGAAGTGAAAATACCAAAATCAAATCCTAAAATTTCACAATTTTTGTAAAATTCTTGTAAAATTCATTGTAAAACTTACCAAATCCTGCCTTTCCAAGCACATCCAAAGTCAAATCTGAATAATCCGTAACTTGTAACACAACTTTTCCATCCTTTTCAATCACCTTCTTCCATTCATTGAAAAGTAAATCTGAACTTTGAGCTGCAACTTTACAAACATATTCCAAATTCTTTGGACTAAATCCAGGATTACAAACTTTGAAATGTCTCTTCCAATTCTCACTCTGAACAGATGCCAAATTTTCACCAAAAATGTTAATGGCATCAAAGAAATCTTTTGGTTTTTCAAAATCACTTGCTTTGGTGATGGTTAATTCCTTTATCATGTCTTTATCAGAAATCCAGACACTATTCTCATTTATCATGGAGAGGGAAGTTGTTTTGGTTTCACTGTCACCAATCTTGTCCATCAATTCGAGCATCTTGTCAGTTGGACCGAAATACAGATAGGGAGCAATGAAGGGAATACGAAAGAGAGAGTAGAAATATTGCCAAGTACCTGGAATGTGCTTTATCTTTTGTCGCATTTGGAGAACCTTGAGTGTGGCTATGATGATTAAGGTTGCAATGATGGCCAAAAGGGCAAGCAATAATTGAGAGAGAAGAGAGGATGATTCCTCAAGTGGCTGATCAACAGTAACACTCTCAGATGCTGCTGCAATGATGGTAAACATTTTGAGTTGTTTTTTTTGATATTGGTTGTAAGCGTAAGCGGCTGTTTATGTATTTGGAAGAATTTAAAATTCCGAAGAGAACTGTTCCATAAAGTAGCAATATTTCATAGAAAGATACTGTATAAAAATACATGAAAATGTGGTAAATATTGTCCAGATTTTGAATATCAAATTTATTTTACAAGCTGTATAGTAATTATTGAGTATTTAATACATTTTCATATTTGTTTACAATTTTTGATGAAATTTACTTAGAGCGCAAACAACGCCTCAATAACAAATCTTGCAAAAGTTGTGCGTTGTCGCAGAAGCCGACTCTTTGAATTGGAAGTGCGTTGGAAGAAATAGTACCGCTTGAGCTTTTAAACATTGTTATTGTAATAGGTGTGAAATTATTAAATTTGTTCCAAATTCAACACTACCAAATCTACTATTCCCCTTCAATATTACAAAGACTTTATTCTTGCAAAATGATTGAAAGGTTTTATTGTAATTATTTTTATGGTCAACTTATTATTGTAAATTGTTTAAAAAATAGGACGAGATGAATTGTGGAAGCAATTGATGGAGTTATGGAAAATAATTTTGTGTGGATGTGGAGATGAGGATAGGCATGAGGCTGGACTTGATGGATGAGTGTATTGGAAAGTGAATTGAGGAGATTGAAGGCAATTTTTAAAGTTTGAAAATTGTAATTATTACTTGATGGAATGATAACATCTTTTACGATATTCAAGCGTATCCGAGGTTATTCTTGCAACAAGATTTCCATCAAAATAATTTCATTATTTTCTTCATCATGTTACATAATTTAAATTCATCACCGGATATCAAAATGTTGCTAATCATCGATAGTATCATTGTGGAAAGTCTCATCTTGTTTATATGAATGTGAACAGAGTTTGATGCGAATTAAACAAGAGGAGAGCATGTTGAATTTTTACCTTTTCTTCTAATATTAAATTCTCATGATGGTGATGAAGAATAATTATCCAAACATGATAAATTGCATTGAGTGATGGCATAGAACATTTCCATTCAATTATTCATCTTCATATTGAATATCCATGGAAATAATAAATAATTTCTATCAGGACATATGTTTTTGTTGGTGAATTCATTCTTTTGCTTTCTGTGATGAAAAAATTATTGACGAGTTTTTGATTGCAAGAAATGTGATGAGTGAAATTTGATGAAAAAATTAGTTGAAAAATATTGAGAAAAAATTTCATCACATTTTAATAATTTACATCATTGATGATTCGCAAAGGCAATTCTTCATGAATGGAAAAACCATTTTCAACACAACATGATTGGATTATATAGAGAGCATATGAATTGATTTTATTGGATTTTACAAGGAAATACAAATTTTAAAAGGTAATGATTAAATTGATGGAAAATTTTGTTAAAGTGGAAAATTAAAAGTCACATCATCTATTAGTATTCAACATGAATATAACAATCAAATAGATGCAATTGTTTTTCAGCAAGAATATTTTCATCAATTTATTAATTTTAATATTTTCATCATGAAGAACATTATTCACAACAAGAAGAATATTATTTACATGTTCTAAATCATTACTAGTATCACCTCAGAAAGTTTCAAAACTTTCCATCAAGTGTTGATGAAGAGTTGGAAGATGAAAGTATTTTAAAGTGAAAAACATCATTTGGAAAACTTGTTCAATTTGAAGAGGAGGTACAAGATTTATTATTGTATCACATCAGAAAATGTATTTTGACAATGTTTTTCGAATAATTTGCAACGATGGTCAAGTTGAATTTTTACATGCTTCCTAACATTAATTATTCATCATCTACTTGATCAATCTTCATCACGACAATAATAAATACATCTATAGGATGTTATCTAACATTACAATTCATCTTGTTGTTTCACTTTAAAAGTTGACCAAGAAATTCAACAAGTCTCACACCCAATAACATGCCACCAGCAAACCTTGCAAGACATTTACAAATTTAATATTAATATTTGAAATTTTGTTAAAATGAATGGCTACGGCCATATCACGATGAATGCACCTCATCCCGTCCGATTTGAGAAGTTAAGCATCGTCGAGCCACATCAGTACTGAGGTTGGAGACAACTTGGGAACCTGTGGTGCTGTAGTCTTTTTTCATTGTACCTCTTAAATCCATGATAATTGCTTCCTGAACAATTTTTATTCGGTTTTTACAAATGAAATTGCAGAACAACAATCTATGGCCAAGGCAACCAAATCCATCTTTAGAAATAGAGTATTATCAAATTTGATTGTTGAGTTGTTAAATTTTCGTGCTAATCCAAAGTAATCCTCTTGGTCAACTCCACACATCATTTTCTTATACTTCTCCACAAGGATATTATTATCAATAAGTTTGGTTTTCGGATGAATGATTGATTTTTGAGTCAATTCTTCATAAATCATTTCAAAGTTAATTAGATATGTTGAATGCTTAATGACAATGCACTCAGATAATTTCAATTTTGAAATGAATTCTGAAAACGATAATCTCTTTGTTTTCAGAAAATCGTCATTGAGTGATTCTTTGTAAAGTAAATAAACTGGAAAATCATAATTATTTGAAACTTCTGATTTTCTTACATGGAGGCAAGCTTGATATTTGTCACTCTCCAATTCTTCACTACTTCCTCCGATTACAACATCATCATGTCCATCTGGAATTTCATTTTCAAAGTCAAATTGAAATTCAAAGTATTTAGCAATTTCATTATCAAGAAACCACAACTTCTTATTTCTAAAGTCAATATCGTTTAAAAATTGCAAACATTCTGGCATCAAATTCTCGCCATATTCTCTTATTATTAATGAGGGAAATTCAACATTCAATTTTGCAAGAGAAAGACATATTTCCCTTGTGAGTGGCACATTTTCAACCCTGGTTGCAATAATAGGTTGTACAACAGAAATGTGACTATCAGCACGTGAAGCAGAAAAGTAAAACCTTTTGAAAATATTATCAAAATGAGCAGCATGTAAATTGTCAGAAACAGTAAAAGTATGTAACAAATTAGTTGTTTTCTTTTCATATAAATAAGCTTCCCCCGTATTTATCAAGCAAATGACATAATTTTCATAATACGGAATTATTGATACAACTTTTTCATAAAATGTGTCAATTTTAATTTCAATTCCAGATCTTTCATCCTTCAAGATTAAAAGATATTGTTCATCCACATCGTCACTATCGTCATCACTATCAGCTATTTCTTCAAATAAGAGATAAAGCTGTCCCTCCTTTTCATCCACATATAATACATCAATAACATTATAATTTGATTGATTTAAATCAATTTCTCTTTTTTTTGATCCATTCAATAAATCCATTACATATATTGAATTAAATTGTATGAGATACATTTCATTCGTTAATTTAGCACAATTCATTTTATACTTTGCATTAATCTTTTTTTCCCAAATAGGAGATTCTTTTGAATAATCTGTTACATGATCTAATATTTTATATTTCTTAATGGTATTATTTCTTCCAATATAAACATTCTCAAATTGACTATCAATCTGCACAGAATTAAATGAAGGTAATTCAAATTTAAGTTTCCATGATTTACATTCTGAATCAAATACATAACATTGTTTTTGGGTAGTTACGGCAATTATTAAATTATTTAATTGATTAGTTGTAACAGTAGTAATATATGTAATATTAGCAAGTTTTGGGATTGTATCTATTTTATGGAAATTAATATGAAGTACTTTAACCTTGTTTCTTCCGAGTTGATCTTTCAAGCCTTGCGGAATTTCCAATAAATTATCGGATAATATTAGTTTTACTAATTCTTGTTCCTCTTCTTCTTGTTCTACACTTGTTGTATTTTCCGATTTAAGCTTTTTGGATAAGTGATAATCAATAGTAGTAATTTCAGCAACCGACAGTTCCGATTTGAGTCTCTTCATTTTTTTTGTGTTTTCTATTTTACAAAATCTTGTAAGTGATGACGATGATTTCGAGTAAGTTGTTGAAACTCCCCTTAGACAACTTGGGAATATTCAAAGGATTGCAATCTGGGGTATTAACTCTAATGTTGCACACTATACATCACAGCTCTCCCAACAACATGTTGATATTCATAGAATTGTTTATCACTCGTTGAATTGTCTCTGTGATCTCTGAAGAACAAATCTCACCAAATTGAATTGTCTCATCACATGAACATTCTTGTTGTAATCAGGAACATTATCAATTTATTCCAAAAAACAGTCGAAAAAAACTTCTTCCATCTTTATTACAATAAAAGTGCAACAAGGACTTTGTACTCGTAGTACGAAAACAACTCATCAAAAAAAATGCCATCGAAGAGAAAAGATACCACCACGAAGCAATCTATGAAAAATTCTTACAAGAGGAACCTAAAATCAGCATTCTATGAAAAATTCTTACAAGAGGAACAGAAAAGAATTGAACAAGTAGATGCCCACATACTCAAGCTTGTTGAATCAACTTGCTATGAAAGTTATCAAAAGAATGATAATGATGATAAGAAGGCACGAAATTATGATGAATTTTGTGATTTGATGATGGATGTATTGGCAAGAAAGAAGAGAAAATATGAAATGGAACGTGTACCTTCTTTGATCAAGTCATTACCTCCAGAAATTGTTGCCTATTCGATTGTTCCATTTATGGATTTGGAAAGTGTTTTGAATGGATCAGTGTTTTTGGTTTGTCGTTCTTGGTATGAAGGTATGATTGATGAGGAAAGAATGTGGCAAGAATTGTTTTGTAGATTGTGGGATATGACATTGGAAAGTTTGAAAAGTTGGACTAGGTGGCCAACACAATACGACAGCAATGTTACATATGTAAAAATTAATAGAAGTACTAGTTTTACAACAAAACCAACTGTATTTAAAAAGAGTGGCAAGAAGTTGGTTAAAAAGCATTCATATCAATTTATGAAGGAATTTTGTTTGTTAAAACATTCAAGTTTTAACAAACATTCAAGAATTGGACCTGTGAGAGCTTTCTTTTTAACTACCCATCAGGATAGTAGTTATGCTGATACTACTCTTATTGCACCATCCCTTTATTCAAGATTTCACATTACATCTGTAGATCGCAAGTTGACCTATGTTAGTGTAACTGATGATGGAGAGACTGACAATACAATATCAAGTATTCACTTTACATTGGATTATTACACTGCACTCATTCCTTTTTCTATGAGGATTGATATTGACTATAGTGTTTCCTATGGTGGTGAAACTCATGAAAAAGGTATTTCTATTTCTGTATCTAGATTACACAGTGATCAAGCTAGTGACTTGAAAAATCCAACAAACCAAACTAAACTCGTCTTGAAACAAAGTGATGGGAATGAAGGTGATAAGGAAGAGGAGAATGATGAAGAATCTGAACAAGACGAAACTGATGGGAATGCACAAAAAGGGTCATCAAATAGAGCTATTTCAACATTTAAGAAAAAATGGATTGGAAAGGATTTTGTAAAGATTCATGATGACGGTCAAAGTTGGTTGTTCAAATTTATTTCAACATTGGGCATTGATTTGCTGGATGAAGCATTGTATAGAATGACTGATGAATAATGCTCTACAAAAGCTGCAAAGTGATTGAATTTGATAAAATTGTTTAATCTGTTAAACTTAATTGACGTCATTGAACACAAGTTAATCTTTACACAATTCCTCACTCAACTTCCATAATTCATCTTGAACTGATTCCTCTTTTGCGATCCAACTCTCACCTCTGTATTGCTTACATTCATAGTAGTATCCTCCACTTTCCAAATTACTCATCTTCTCGAGGGCCAAGTAAATTGATGTTTGAGCACCTGCTAGAGGACTCTTGAAAAAGTACCACTTGGTCAATTGTAACATAAGACTTCCCAATCCATCTACTGAACGAAATACATTAGTGGAGACTGTTCCTGGATGGAGTGAATAACATCCAATCTTGGCAACTGGCTTCAGTGAATTGGAGGTTGCTGTTTCGTTTTCGAATTGTCTCGCCAATGATTTGATAAAGAGCAAGTTGCATAACTTGGAGAAACCATAAGCAAACATTGGAGATGATTGAGGAGTGGAAAGTTTTTCTTTTGTGAATAAGAGTTGATCCTTGTTTCGAACAGCAATATGTCCCAAACTGCTCACACTAATGATTTTGCATTCCTTGTTGTGTGCAACACTTGTTTGTTGGATGAGAGATTTCAAAAAGTGAACTAGCATAAAGTGACCTAAATGATTGACAGCAAAGTGAATCTCCAGATTCTGTTTAGAAAGAGTGGATGGAGAAGAATAAACTCCTGCATTGTTAATGAGAATGTCCAATCTGTCAAATTTTTGAAGGAATGAATGACAGAATTCTCTCACAGACTCCAAATCGTCTAATTCCATTTTCATTACAATGATTTTACCTAAATTGAGGTTCCTATTCATTGATTTACATTCCCTTTCCAATTCATCCATTTCCTCTAATCCTCTTTCCAAATTTCTGACACTCACACAAACAGTAGCTCCCAAGCAATACAATGCCTTAACAGTTTCGTATCCAATTCCACCTTTGGATGCGCCAGTTATCAATACAACTTGTCCTCTAAGATCAGATTCCTTCAATAATTGGCTCGGAACAGATCTTCCATTAACAAATCTCTTTCCTAGGAAGAATAACGAAATTCCCAATAAACCGTAGGAGCATTTTCTTAACATTTCACCATGTTCCTTCCAAATATCAAGGCACGTAGTATTTAATTGATTCCATCGTGAAAATACTGCATCGGAAAGAGCTTGATAGGAAGAAAGCAATTGTTGTGTGAACATTTTTTTAAAATTATTATTTTCCAATATTTCCTAAGGATTATAAAAGTTGTTCGTAGTATTTCCAATTTAGGATTAGCTCCGCTCTCAATAATTTTCAAGATAAAACTACTTGATGCTATTGAATACGTATTGATTTCTTCTTTCTCCGCATGTACTCCTCTTCATAGACAATTGTTTGTTTCATTCTATTGAATATTTCAAGCAATTGTCTAGATACTTCTTGATAAGTATCGACATCTTGTCTCTTTCTTAGATGAGTATTTACAAAAAGAGTTGTTTGAGGACTAATTTTCAGATATTCCTCCACAGTTGATTTTGGATATTTGGTAAGAAAGGTATAAATTTCTAACAGTTCCATTTTAAATTCTGTAATGAGAAATCGTTTGAAAATTTCCACACATGAAGTACCATCTTGAAATACCTTAGAAAGAAATAAATCCATCTCTTCCTTTTGTTCCTTGAGATCATATTTTGGTGTTTCAACCTTTCTAAATGTCAAGGAAATTAAAAAGATGCTCTGTAATCCATATGACAAGGTCAGTAAAATCTTACTAGATCCATACAGGAAATATCCAAATCCGTTGTTCAAATACATTCGATTGATTGGTCGAGTTCCATCCATTGGTTCCAAAGTCAAATATCCACCACTAATTTCTGATAATCCATAGTGTATTCCAGCAACTATCAAAAGAAATGTCAAGATGAGAAATTCACCATTGTAACCAAATGGATCGTCATGAATGAAAAACCATTTGAATATTTGTTTTGGTCTTTTGATTTTCTTTACAAATTCAATATTCGAACAAAAGTGAGCAATCACTCCAATACTAAGCAATATGAAATATCCAACACAACATGAAACAGCAAGTGCATTAGATATTGGTGGGATATCATTAAAGGAATAGATTACCAATACAGAAACTACAGCAACCTCACACACAATCACTAATACCATTTCTATAAGAATTGAAATCTTGGATAGTAAAATTTTCATAATGACACTATCTCTTTTAGAATAATATTTCGAATAGAAGAATCGGCTTAAATAATATCTGATTCCTTGCAACATGTGTAGAGACATGACAAGTACAATTACTAAATGTTCAATCAATGTATCAAATTCAGGATCATAATAAGCAATATTCAATGCGATATTAATTAAACATCTTAATATATAGACGCCCATTGAAAATATTGGAATTATAAATCTACTCTCTATCACTCTGTGTTTTCTCTTAATAATTAACAAAATAAACATTATAGAATATTCAACGAGTCCAAATACTAGAGCTGCCATTTTCCAAATAAAATACTGAGCTCTAGAGCTGTAAGTATAATCATCACATTGACTATCCCAATAAGGAATGGTTTCATTATCAGTGTAGTTGACCAAAAGTGGTATAATATAATAGGGTTTCTTAATTGCTGATAAATAAAATTCTTCAGGATACGCCCAATGATCAATTAACATGACATGCATTTGCAATCCAGTTAAATTATCCAATTTCAATGGAATGTCAATATTCAAATCTGTCATTTTCATGTAAAATTGTTGAAATGGTTTTCTCAATGTAAAATTCCAATCACCATTAGCAATCATTTCATCCAATTTTTCATTCACTTTTCCCACACCCGTACAATTTCTCCTATAAAGTGTCGAACTAATCTTTGTAAAGCAAAAACTAGCTGGTTTCTTTTCGTAATCCCAAATCCTCACATTCTGATAATAGCAAAACATTCTATACGTGACATTGGTAAGGATATCATCCTTTGTTATGAAATTCAAACTTTGGTTCACATGAATATAGGAAGAATCTTGATCTGAAAATAATTGAATGGCAACACAAAAAGTTGGACCTGATTTTGATATTGAAATATGCAAGTTAGATTCGAATGATGATGAATAATTTAATTTCCATTCCATTTTGATGGGAGCGTTGAATGGTTTAATTAAACATTGAGCTTGGTTGGGATGAACCAAGAAGGTTGAGTTTCGAATAAAATTATCGGAATTGTCTGTTGTATTTCTTGTTGTTGCTACCACAACCATCAACATGTAGAAAAGAATCATGACCAAGGTTGTTATTGCATAGATCCGCATCTTGTTGCATTTTTTTGTGTATGTTGGAAAGATGACAAAGTTTCGAAAAAGCAAAATACAACAATTTTGGTTGTCCAAAAATACTAAATTGGAAATAGTTGACATTTATTTAAATCATGTGATCATCAAATTTCTTTGGTGTGTTGCATTGTTCTGCAGATCCTTGGGAACTTTCATTATCAGATGAATGTCCACCTTCTGGAAGAATTGGTTCTTTCAAATCCCAAATAATTCCAACACTAATAGCACTTCCAGATCTAACTCTACCAGCATAGACATCTGATGTTGAATCTCCTAATAATCTACGTGGTGAATCATTGGATCCGCTTCTACTTGATGAAGTTTCGTTCATTTCGTGTGCTTTATCCAGAGCTGCTTGGAAGTAATCTTCTGGAGCTACTTGATGTCTCTTAATCTTATTAATTTGTAAGAGATCGATATCAGAAGAGTGTGTCCGAAGTGCATAATGTGTATTTCTTCCATTTGCATTCATCATTGGTTTGTAAATCATGAATGGATCATCGTCAGAACGATTTCCTGATGAATGTGTTTCTGGATAATCGTAATTGTCCAATCCAGAATATGCTTCACGATTTTCAAGAATAATATCTTGGATTTTGGAAGCTTCCATCATGACCATTCTTCTTGCTTGTTGTTTACGTTTCCTTCTTCTTACACAAATAAGGGTAATAAGGGTAATGATGGAAATTAATAGTAAAATGACAAATGTAGCACCACCAATAGCAACATATTGTCCATATGATTGAGTAGTTATTGTGGCTGTTTGGATTACAAAAACATTAGTAAATCTCTTGCAACGGCATTTGATAGATTTTTCTTGAATTGAAACGATTTCACAATTTGATTGCATATTTGAATTTCCATCTAGAAAATCTCCACATGAATAACTGAATGAAATTGTGCGTTCTTCTAAAAATCCTAAAGGTGTACTATCGTTATTTGTTGCATATTCGACAGGAATTGAATAAATTAAATTTTCTTCATTCATTGCAGATGGAGAATCCAAATATTCGATGGAAACAATCTTTGATATTAAATTGGATCTCTTTTTTGTGTTCGAATCAACTGTTTCAGTTTCTACCAATTTCTTATTCAATGAATAAATATCGTCTGTCACTGTTAAGACATACATGAACTGTTTCAATAAAATATTCAACGAATATTTAGCAGAATTATCAAAGAATCCGTTTTCCATTTCAACAGAAACCATAGAATGCGGATCTTGAACTTTGGTCTCATAATCATGGAAGAAACTCTTTCCTAAAACAATTGAGAAGAAAGGTCCAGTCATTGTTTTTCTTCCTCTTCCTGCTGGAACACTTCTTACTTGTAAATAGGAAGAAAGTTTGACAGAGCGGAGTAACTTATTAGAATTGGTTGTTTGGTCAGTGAGATATTGTTTGTCAATAATGTACTTGTAAGCAGAATCAAGACATGAAGAAAGTAAAAGATCAGCACCTGAGGAAAGTCTGAGATTGGAATTAATTAAACCTTTGACCAGGAAATTGTTGAAAGTTGTGAGAGATTCGTGGATAGTTTCAGATTTGAGGAATGGATAATTGATGAGAATAGAGTCAACTGCAAATGTTAACAATGACAAATAATCGCTATTCATGCTTTCTTCATAAGTGTTGTTTCCAATTAAGGAAAGGTGACGCAAGACTTGAATCTTGGTTGACTGAATATTTGAGAAGGATTTGATAGATCTTTCACAGTATTGTCCAACATAACCATCAAAGCATTTACAAATACCAGAAATTTCAACACCATTTCCACAAACAATATTAGAGGCACGAGTTGAAATTGCTGATGAAATAGCTGATCTCATTAAAACCGAGTCGGTTCTTGAAGTTGTTGCTGATTGATAAATTCCCTTACTAAATTCGCCATCCAAAATATATTGATTACTTCTAGATTCCCAAATTTCCACCAAATTCTGTAATTGATCAATAGTTGAAACTGTTGGAGCCTCCACAGTGACATTTACATAGACTGTCGAATAGGCATTGGTTGAAGTATCAATAATATCGAAATAACAAGTGACTGTAGATCCATAATATGGTGCAGGTAACTTGGATGAATATACTTCTTCCTTTCTTAATGAAATCTTAACACCTGACTTGTCATCCACAAATCCATACTGATAATCAATAATATCTGTTTTACAATTAGCACAGTAAAAATCAAAGTCTGTTTCTAAAGCAGTACCAATAGATGGAGTGATAGAACATTTACAAGGTTTAGGATTTGAAGCTACATTAAAGGTATAGGTGGTAGTAAAGATCTTTCCAGTTGCAGGATCGTATGATTGAATGGTGATTGTGTTTTGTGAACCTTGTTCCAAATTGGAAGTGTCTATTATCAGACCTGTCTTATCGTACACACCGATAACTTGTCCATTAAGGAAAACTGTCAAATTTGATTGTTGATTGTTGGCAATAAATGTTTGTAAGAAAAGTTGTTGACCTGGAAGAACAAAGCTTGTACTTGGTTCAGTATAAACAATCGAGACAATTGGAGGAATTGCATTAAAGTAGATAATTGTTGATTTTTCAATACTTCTGTTATAGGATTTGGAGACTTGTAGAGTTAATTCAATAGAGTTTGGTATTTCACTTCCGAAAATAGAAGAATCAAAAGTTATATCATCAACTTTTCTTTGAGAAATATCACTAAGGAAAAGCATCAATTTCGTATTGTTATTATCCAAACAACTCCATTTCCAAGTTTCCTCATCTCCATTCAATTCTAGATCAACAAATTTTACAACCAAATTTGTAGATGTTTCTGTGGCTGTGGTTTGTATAAGATCAAGACTTAAATCTGTGGATTTGGTCTTGATAATAAGTGTTTGAGTAGCGTTAAATTTAGGAGAAGATGGATAATAGGCAGTTACTTGGAATGTGAATGAGTTCTTGCCGTAATTGAGCATAGATGGAATGTAAAGATTGAAATATTGGTCAACTTGATAATTGATTGGTGGGCCACTTATTTGAGACCATTCTATGATGGATTTTTCATAAGCACATGCAGATTCTGTAAGTGTCTTCTTGGCTGTTAGAGGGAATTGATTTGTAAACTTTTCAATGGTGTTATCGATCAAATTTACAACAGGAATTGGAACTTTTGACTTTTTAAAGATGTTGGAATAAACTAGGGAGCTATTTTGATTCAAAGTGGTACTTTCTACTTGGAGAGATATGAAATAATTACCATGTGGAATATTTCCTTTCAATCTTAATAATGCAACATTTGAATGATTTGAAGAAACTTCTTGTAAAGTATCTGAATCAATCAATTTCCAATAGAAATTCAAATCAGTTCCATCAAATGAATAACTTGACCTTCCATCAATCAAAATGTCATCACAAGAGCTATAAACTTCTTCAGTAGCCGCAATAATTGCAACTGGAGGTCTGAATCTACACGAATCTCCATAAAATCCAAATAAGCAAGTATCACAACTTTCTCCTGACCAATAACCATTCGAATCATCAGTGTAACATCTACATTTTCCAGTATAAAGGCAATCACCATGATTGGAACAATTCAACTTCTTTTCACAAAGAATAGTGTCGTTTTCAATTATTGGAATTACATCAATCATAGTTTCGTTAAGATATGTCTCGTTTGCAATTGTAGTTTCGTTATTCACTATTGTATCATTAGTCAGAGTAATATTAGGAGTGCTGACACTTGTTTCGTTTACAACTGTTTGACTATTTTCAATATTAGTTTCATTTGTTATGATTGTTATATTGTCAGTAATAGTCACATTATCTATAATTGTCTTATTGACAATCAATGTTTCATTTGAAATAGTCACATTATCAATAATTGTTTCATTGGTAGTTAATGTAGCATTCACTGTTTCGTTCAATCCTGTAGTATTGTCAATCAATGTTACGTTCTCGCTAATCACTGTTGTTATGTTATTAGTAATAGTCACATTATCTAGAATTGTTTCGTTGGCAATCAATGTTTGATTCGAAATAGTCACATTAGCATTAATTGTTTCATTGGTAGTTAATGTAGCATTCACTGTTTCGTTCAATCTTGTAGTATTTTCAATCAAAGAGGTATTGTTTGATTCAAGGGTTTCGTTTAAAAAGGTAGAATTATCAACCACAGTTTCGTTCAAGGTTGCATTCAAGGTTTCGTTCAAGATAATGGTCACGTTACTTTCTATTGTTTCATTCAATGGAAGGGTGATGTTTAAAGTTGAAGTTTCGTTCATGGTGTTTGTTACGATTGTTTCATTCATTGTAATGTTTACAACAGGATCAGGAATTACAATGAGAGTTTCACATTGAATTCCAGTAAAATTAGAGTTACATTCACAATGGTTCAGTTGAGTACAATTTCCGTTACTAGAGCAAACTGTTTCATTATTATAAAGTATTCCAAAACAAGAGTGAGATTCACATACGTCTCCATAAAAACCAGTTTGGCATTGACACATATCAAAATCAATACAATCTCCCATTCCACTACACACAATGCTTTCGTTGGATGTAATTCCAAAGCATGTTGTTAATTGACAGTAATTTCCAAAGTAATTATCTGAACAATTACATCTGTCAGTATTCAAACAAGCTCCTCTTGAGCTACAAACATTTGGCTCTGAATTCATCACTCCGAAACAACCATATTCTGAACAATTAGATCCATAAGCATCTGATTGACATGTACATGTATCAAAATTAACACAAACTCCCTTACCAGAACAAACACTTGCATCTTCAGATGATGTATTAAAACAGGTAGTCAATTCGCACCAATCACCAAAGTAATTTTCAGTGCAATTACACAAATCAAATGCAACACAGGAACCTCTTGAACTACAAACAGATGAATTACTACTCAATGTACCATTACAAATTTTTTCTGAACAATCAAGTCCATAATAATTCAATTCACAATTACAAGTATTGTAATCCGAACAATTTCCTTTTCCAAAACAAACTGATGAGTCATTGGCTGGAATATTAAAGCATTTGAACATTTCACAATTATTTCCATAATAATTTTCAGAACAATTGCAATGATTGTAAGAAATACATTGTCCATGTGAGCTACAAACATTCGAAGAGTTACTGAACTCTCCATTACAAGTTGTAACTGAACAGTCTTGTTGGAAAGTGTAGTGATTTTGACAAATACAACTATCCGATAAACTACAAGTTCCTCTTCCCGAACAAACTCGTGAGCTATTTGCAGAAATTCCGTAACAAGAATACAGTTCACAGCCAATTCCTGAGTATCCATAATTGCAGGAACAATGATTGTAATCAATACAATGACCTCTTCCATTACAAACACCTGAATTATTTGATGCCAT